TTGCTAAACAAAACTAGTCGTTTGTAACCAGTGTTAACATGATATGAGTTGCTTGAAAATAATTAATACTTTGGCCATTATTCGTCACAATGGATGTCAGCCTGACAGGCAGACTATCGTTGAATCATGAGATTCAGATAGTGGGATCAAGTCAGTATTTTTGTAAATGGTTAACGAAATTGAAGCTCAAAAAACTTGATGCGTAATGATTATGGATAAAATAGAAAATTGAATGGCGGCAGGATTCGAAACAGTAGTGTTGATTTACGAGAACCAACAGCTGTGATGTGAATCAATGATACTTTACTGTCGGTGGATCTCACACTATTTATCTGACTAGGATTTTCACCTATCATTTTTAATCATGGTGAATCAGAAGGAAGGGGATAAGTCTTCAGTTGAATCCTGCCACAACCTATAAATTCATTTCGCTTTCAATCACCACCCATTTCATGAGTAATAATATGGCACGCAATGATACCTGTGACATCGAATAAATAAATAGTGTAACGGAAACTGGTTGCGACCTTTATCAGATTATGACCTATTTAAAAAAAACAGGATTTCATCATTAGCTGACATCAGTTAGAAAACCAGCTGGGAGTACTGGGCAGCTGTTTCGTCCCAGTTTGGGACTCTTCGTCAGTACGCACCCACCCACACGGTTCGAACCCAGGACCTTCTGGTTACAAGGCAAATCCGTAGGCCATTGAGCTACTGTGACCCGATCCAACGGCCAGTCCGTGAATTCCAACTTCTGCCAATTCTGCCTCTTAACCAGAAGGTCCTGGGTTCAAACCCTGGCGGTGGGTGCGTACTGATGAAGAGTTCCAAACTGGGCTTACGAAATAGCTGTCCAGTACTCCTAGGTTCCTCAGTGGTTCTCTAACCGATGTCAGCTCATGATGAAATCCTGTGACCAATCAATCAAATCCCTATAAATCAATACTTATAACCAATTATTTGAGGTTATTTTCCTTGATTGTGAGTAGCAGTGGAATCTGGAATGCTCGTTTCGTCATAGTTAGGACTCGTCAGAGAGGTTTGCCTGCAACTCCTACCGCAGTGAGTGATGATGCTCCCAGTGAGACTGGCTCATCGTTTCTAATGCACACCTTAGATTTCGCTGTTGGTCACCATCAACAAAAATGACATCACGTTAACACTTTCATATCTCGTTCAATAGTCCGACATGTCCGTAGAGACCGAGCATCTCGGTTCAAGATAACCAATCAACTGGAAGTGTAAATTAGGTTTTCACAAGTCTGATAGTTAAACCCATACAGTAGTATTGAAATAAGGTTCAATGGGGAAAATGACCACCAGCCAGTCAGCCAGGTGGGAGGCCAGGTGGCCTAATTTACTAGCCAATTGTAGAAGCTTTCAAGGGAGGGGAGGTTGAAGATAAAGCTGGCAACCTCACCGTGTGAAAATAAATACAACACCGACTCTCCTGAAACCCACAAAGAAAGCCTGAAGCCACTACGTTCCACTCGAAATGTAAGGAATGAAGGAAAAGAAAAGAAAGCTCATTTTTATTTTTAAATCGATCAGTAAAAACGTTTGGAGAAAAAGAAGAAAAGAAAGTAGACGAATATTGACTGTTCCAGATTAATATTTAAGATTTTACATTTAGCATACTAACTTTCACGATATAACTTAAATGTCTAGACAAAATATGCATGAATAATAAGAATGAATGAATGAAAACACCTTGGTAATGGACACCAATAAAACGTGAAATATGTATAGATAGATATATATCGATTTGTAAACAACGTTTTAATAATTTATCTAATGTTACGCCTGTGGTAATTTGACTTATTCATCGACTTCAGCATTTGATTTCTAGCAAATAGGTGTCGAGTTCGAGTCTGCTCCTGTCTACTGCAACCTAGACAATCGAACGGTAATATAGTAGGCTGCATACAATAATTATGGCTCATAGGTAGCTAACTGAATGCCGACTGGTGACGTTTTGGATAAAAACATAGAAGTGCCAATTAGTTATTTTTTGTCCTGTACAGCACTGTATTTTGTCGGAGATAATTTGGCTGTATTAGGAGATTCGGAATAGTGATCTGGTTTACAATAACATATCTGTCTGTCTATTTTCGACATAGAACTTTGCACATATGTGCAGTATTTCAAGTCGCCACACTTCACTCAGAACACAAAGCAAGAGAAGAAAGTAGAAGAAATGCAATAGAGACAGTAGACAGGGATATAAAGCAAAAAGAATGGTAATATCGGAGAACAATATAGTTTCATTGGAAATTGTAAGTCACAAGAAGTGGATGCACTTGCGCCAGTCATTGAGAACGATTTTGAGCCATATCACCAATTGTTTCCAGACTTCATTGTTTTTTAATATCTGGAGAAGCCATACCACTCAAGAAGTCTACGCCTTCCTAAGTGGCTAGCTTAAAATAACTGTTGTGGATTTCATTGGCTGATGAAGCCATGTTTTGGTTTGACCAACACCACTGACTCTTTTCCAACTTGACCCTATGTCAGCTAACATCGCTCTTCTGTCGAGGAAGGCGATAGTTAGGCGTGTGTAACACATGTCCTAACCATCTCAGTCGATGTAATTTCACAGCCTCGTCGATTGATTTCCCCTCCCACCTACCTAGCACTCAACGCCTAACCTCAGTATTGCTCACGGAAGATAGAACGCGGGCACCTATGATCAAAGACAGTTAGCCCTTTTATGCCTTCCACTTCCAATGGCCAGGTCTCACAGCCATAAAAAAAGAACGAGGTGGACTGATGAGCAGTACATCCACCCGTCGGTCGATAGCCGGATATCACGCCTACGCCAGAGATGGCGTAAACTGGCAAATGCAAAACTAGCCCTCTGTATCCGTGCTGAGATTTCGTCAGAGATCAACCGGTTGGGGCTGATGCAACTTCCCAAATAAGTGAAGCGGTCAACGTGCTCTATTTCTATGGAGTGAAGTGGTAGACAATAACATGATATAATTCTATATTCCATAAGCTTAATTGATGTAACATGCACTGATACAGTATTGCTAAATGGATAGTGTTTCGAGCAGAATTTATTTCTCACACACACATATAAGTGAATTTACACAACTTTCCAAACGTTCTTCATATAGTTCTTCTTTTTGCGATCACATTCAAACTAACCAACCCTCTCAGAGGCAAACTTTGTTACCCTAAGGATTCAAATGACCTAATTAGACAAGAAACCGACAAATTCTCATAAGTGCTTAGACTTCGATTCACCTTGTCGAAAATCGGCAAAGATAGGTCTTGTTAAATATTTGTATAATTGAGTCAGGAATACAACTAGTAAGTTGTTATTCCTTCACGTTCCCAGAGGAACATAAGACTTCAGGCTAGAGCTTTGAAGTTTCGGTGGCAATGGTTTTTATTTTTACGGAATGGGGTTGCTAGTCTCATGCATCACCTTCCCTCTTTACCGGTCTTATTACTGGCTTAGAAAGGTAAGGGATTGCGTCGACCGATGATCGAACATCGGACCACATGTGGCGTGGTAGGCGAGAATTTTACCGTTGTGCCACCGACGCACTAGTAAGATAGAAAATTTAAATAATTAATTGAAGCAAATAAAGAAAACCCTACTATCCAAAAGTAAATAAAGACCCATATGGAAAATAAAAAGGAATAATGTAAAATAATGGAACTAATTTGAATAATAAAAAATTCAAAGCCTCGATGGTACTGCCACATAAAGTAAGAAGGTCACAGGCCCTACATAGGTTTCTTAATAAGGCTGGAAATATAGCAGCATTTAAAGATTTAAACAAACATTTTCGGCGCAAGCACCCGGTGGATATAATTAAGAAAAATAATTGAATTTGCCAAATATCATGTATTGACTGTGAGGTTACTTACATAGGTCAAATGAGTAGCTCCGGGTCAGTTAGGCTAACATATCACAGGCATTTAGCTAGATCTAGAATGACTAGCATCGGTGGCACAGTGGTAGAATGCTCGCCCTATTTAGTCCGGGGTTCGATCCCCTGCCGGTGCACTCACTTACCTCTCTAAGCCATTAATAAGACAGGTATAGAGGGAAGGTTGGGCATGAGGTCAGCAACCCCATCTTGTAAAATTAAACATCACTGCTACCAAAACTTCAGGCCTCTAGCTTGAAGCCCTATGGTTCTTAGAAAACAAAGGAATAAGAAAAAGAATGACTGACCCTGCTAAGTTAAGCAATCATTGCATTACATTCAGTTGTATGTAATCAAACAATAGGGTGGGATTAGACTAAAAGTATTAAAAAGTAATATTGTATTGTTGAAGTAGTGCGTCTGTGGCATAGCGGTTAGGACGCTCGCCGACCATGCACATGGTCCGGGGTTCGATCCCCGGCCGACGCACTCCTTTACCTCGCTAAGCCAGAAATAAGGCTGGTGAAGAGGAAAGGCTGGGCATGAGGCTAGCAACCCCATCCTGTAAAATAAACACTGCTACAGAAACTTCAAGCCACTAGCTTGAAGCCCTGTGTTCCACTGGAGAATGTGAAGGAAAAAAAGTAGTTTCCAAATTACTTCTCGGTCACCTCTGTATCGAAATTATTGTTATCCATTAACTCAAAGGATAAGAAATAAAGGAACTATACAAACAAAATATGAAATAAGTCATAGGAGCACTTTGATATGATTATGCGCAATAAATTGTGCTAGAAAGGTTGTTAACAAATAAACAGTATTGCATCACCACGTGAGCTACATCAACTTACATTCTTCTATCATGAAATTATACCCTACCGCAGTGCTCAAATTCTATTGTAGTGTTTAAGTTTACGTCTGTCTTACAATTCCTATTGTAAAATATCACTGCGAAATATTCAATTATATCCAATTTACAATATAGTCTATAAAGATGCCACTTTCTAATCTTGACTAACTTTAATTTGCCGCAAACAGAATTAAAAGTTATTAAAAATTGATTATTTCAATGACAAGTATTAAATTAGCGGAGAACAAATTGATAAGACTTACTCCACTGCTGCCTTCACTTCCTGTCGCATATGTTGAATCACGACCACTGTCTAGACTAGCTGAACTATTACGCTTATCACAATCTGTCAGGTAACTATTATTGCTGGTATTTCCATTTACAGTTTTAATTGGTGAATTGTTATGCACCTGTGAAGAACAATACTTTCCGGAAATGTTCGATCTTTGTATCAAGTGACCAGATTTGTCTACTGACGGTGAAGGAAGAAGACTGCTTGTACAGTGTTGATCCACCGGTAAAATATACTGTCCAGTGTTGTTATCTCCTTGTCCATTCATTGGTGTACATCCTGCTGTTGAGACAGGATTCATCATAGGCAACTTTGAAGCCGGTAACATGTTCGAGTCGAAAGTTGAATAATTCGTTTCTGACTCATCAGAGTCGTCTGTTTCACTAGAGTACTCTGATACAGAATCTGTTTGTACCTGAAAAGAATTATGGAGATAAAAAGAAGTAAAGAGGTTAAACACAAAACTAGATGATAATCAAGAGAGCAAGTATATTCGCAAAAAACTACATACTACTGATTTATTGAGGTGAGTAGTTGTATACCACCCACAACAACCAGGACTGTTTGCTAGCCAGACAAATCGCAGTAATCTAAACAACGGACAGCCCTTCCGCTCGTTTGTCGCCTAGCCCATCATCACTGGTGTACCCGGTTTGACTCAGCTCAGAGGGATGGTCGAATCAGTTGAAACCACTGGACGAACAGGTAAAATTATGATTTAATTGGTGGATGGTAACTAGCAGTGGAATCCAGGATGTGCATTTCGTCCTATTTGGGACTCGTCATCTGGACGGGAAAAAGAAATCATTTTATTTCATATAGGGTTTTCATCAGCCGCATATCGTTTGAATAATAAACTATACAAGCAATCAATGTGGCAGTATTTTTACATTTACATTAACTCAATATATTAAATATTCCCATAGTAAAATTTAGAACAACACATTTAAGCGAACAGTATTGTTTTCAATTAGATCTCATCAGGCTTAACTCTAATATATATGTTATATATATGCTGAGATTTTGTAAATTCCGGTTTAATAATACTTTGATAAAGCTATTAGCATTAAATAGCGAAACGTCAGTAAAAACAGTATCGTTTTGTTTTTCATTCATTGGGAAATACAAAAACCTTTATTATAATGTCTAATATATATAAGTTTACAAATAAAAATTCAAATATAAGCCAATCATGGTGTTTTGTCAATAGGATAATAAGATGGTGCGTATAAATTATGCAATTAGTCATAATAGTAGTAATAATAATAATAATGGTTTTATCAGTAATAAGGATGAAAAAGTGATGCGATCTGTGATAACACGAAAAACGAAAAACAGCATGATTAAACAGACAACTGTTCAGGTAGAAGTAGTCGATAAAGGCTAAGAAAAACAAATGAACCGATTAAGTAATGTTAAATTGTAAGGGAAGAAAATGAAATACGTTTTTAATGAAGATGTGATAGGATTAAGTAAGAGGTGGTGGAGAAGTCTTCAGTTGGTTATGTCTTAAGAGGCCGAAGGAAGGATAATGGCTGTACGAACTTCTTTTGAATGCATAGTTTAGGTTTAATAGCTCGAATGCCTATCGCCCCAGCCGTGTGCAGTAGACGAATACGAATACGAAGTCTATTGGAAAGATTCGGTGGGATGTGATGAATTAATTTGAAAGCTGGTATTAGATGGTTGGAGGCAATCGGCAGGAAGCCTTGGACCTAGGTTTCGTGCTAGTTGGCACTCATCAGTAAGGCGTATCTGAAACCTTGAAGGAGCTGACGTCCCTTCTGAGATTCAAACCCGCGTCACCCAGTGCTGCAGTCAGAGACGTTACCACTGAGCTATTCAGGCTCGCGACTGACCTCCAACCATCCAATACCAACAATCCACAGTGCGCCGTAATGGTGAGTCACCTAGCATGGTGCCCACATTGCAAACATGACTGACAGAATTCAGTCTGCACCGAAGATAGGACTAGACACATTACACTAGTTACTGACTAGTGTGCAGTCAAAAATAATTTGACAGCTCTCGTTTTCTCCGCTACAAGACCACTATCAACTAAGTGTTACAAAATGGAGCTACAGATTGCTTTTTTCTGTCCTTTGCCAAACCACGATGGCAGATGTTCACTAACACGTTGGCTAAGCTGTCTAGTAGTACGCCCAACATAACTATCACCGAAGGCGCAATCGAATTGATAAATGCACATAGATGTGACAAAACTATCTAGCTTATCCTTCGTTTGTGTCCCAATCATTCGTCCACTAGAGAATGACAAACATAGGTTTGCTGCGTAAAACGTTCTTCATATACTCCTGAGAATTTATCAAAATAAATTTTACTCACAATGGAATTATACTCTACCACAGTGCACAAGATCTATTCTTACTTCTGGAAAGTTTGGAGAATAAAATCTCACTTGATAAGTCGCCATTAAATCGTAACTTAATAAATAGAGGTTTTTTACGTGCAGTAATAGTCTCAGGTTTTCTGTCTGATGTTTTCATATGCTTCTTTATGAAACTACTCGTCTCCGTCAAGGAATCGTGAATATATTAAATTCCTTTTGTAAGTGATCATCAGTACATATCTTTCTTGCTCTACTCGCAAGACATTTTACAACGTTCCTTTTATATTTAATGGGCACGTAACTAAGGAAGTGTGTGTATTGCCCTGTGAATGTGCTTTTCCTATACACGCTTCTCCTAAGTGACCTATCTTCTCGCCTACTTAGCACGACATCCAGAAAATGTAGTTTATTTTCCTGCTCCTTTTCACAAGTAAAGGTAAGCCAAGGGTAGATATTTGCATTCCCATCAGTTAAGATAAATATATCATCGAAATAACGGTAATACATATCAAAATCCTTGATGATGTCTTGCAATCTTCCGTTTTCAAGTTTTGCGAGGAAGAAGTCAGCTAATATTGGGCCTAACGGTGAACTCATAGTTATTCAATCTACTTGTCGGTATTATGAATTATTGAAGACAAAGTGCACATTCATTGTGCATTTAAGGAGTAATTCTTTGAGGCTACACAAGGGAATTCCTTGAGTCCATTTGCCTTTCGGTGAATTCTTGGCAAATGTAACAGCCTGAGATTCAAACATCATCACCAGACTTATACCAGCACCAAGTGCTAATATATCGAATCGAATCGTAACCAGAAGGTCCTGGGTTCGAACCTTGGTGGTGGGTGCGTACTGATGAACACTCCCAAACTAGGATGAAACAGCTGTCCAGTACTCCCTGCAGGTTTTCCAATGCTTCTCTAACCAAAGTCAGCTCATGATGAAATCCTGTAACCAATCAACCAAATCCCTACAATGCAAATCTTGAATATCAAAATGTATATATTCAAATTACATTTATCCTCACCAACAAATAAAGAAATCAAGTAATTCAATTCACCCCGGTGACAGTTTTTTCCACCTGATACCTAGTTCATTATGTATCCCGTTTTTGCTTGTCTCTGACTCTTTATTATTTTCATTATTATTATTACTATGATACCTTTTCCTGAACCCATTGATCTTAACGCACTTAACTGATTTGAGGTCACCTGCAAATCCCTTCATGTCTATTATTAAGCAATAAACTTTACTATAGAGAAAGAAACTAATGACAGTACCTCATTCCTAGACATCTTCATGGCAAGAAAAGAACATGGCGCACTAAGAAGGAGTGTGTATAGGAAACTTACAACAACAGGTTAGTACAGTCATTATTTGAGTTTTGCACCTTTGAAATATAAACGTAACCTGGTAAAGTGTCTGGTTCGTAGAGCTAGGTTAATCTGTTCAGACGACTGCCTCAGTGAGGAGCTTAAGATTTTTAGAGCATTACTTAGAAAAAATGGTTATCCAGATAAGTTCATTGAGAAAAATATGAATTAAGCACCTAGGAGAGTCAGTATGGCTACAGTTCCGAAAAAACCAATGTTCATAAAACTGCAGTTCCTCGGTGACAACATCAGTGAAATAATAACACAGCGAGCTCCTGAAGGATGCAGTTAAAAGAGCTTATTATGCAGCAGAGGTACTTTGTCTCTTCACAACCATCCCTATTCTATGTTCGAGAAATAAGGATAAACTACCTAGATTTGCCTCTTCTATGCGTGTCTACCAGTTTGACCGCAGCTGCAGAGCCAGCTACATTGGGGGTACAATTAAGCAGGTCTATCATCGTATTTCCAAACATCATCCAACATGGTTAAGCAAGGGACAAACAACATCTATTCGTAGCTCCATTGTAGCAAACCTTGAAGATAGTGAGCATAAGGTTGACGTTAATACTGCATTTAAAATTATCTATCGCGTTCCTACTAATCTTAATTTTGCTTTACGAGTTCGTCTCCCACATGCCTACAGCTGAAGCAATAGGAATCCACCTGAAGAAGCCAAACCTGAGCGTGTTCAGAAGAAATTCATACAGCCAATTTCCTTACTTTGGCCATCGTTACATGAATGTATAAACCGGACTACTTCGCCCCCTCCCCCTAAACAGTCGGTCTCCAGTGGGAAGTCGTGACCAGTTGGGTGCAGCTGGTTGGGTGTGAGGACAAATACTCATCAAAGACATTGGTTAGCGGATGCGCTATATCATGAATTGGCAGATGTTAGAATTCATGGGCTGGCCATTGGATCGGGTCCCAGTGGCTTAATGGTATACGAGCTAGCTTCCCTTATAACCAGAAGGTCCTGGGTTCGAACCTTGGTGGTGGGTGCGTACTGTGAAGAGTCCCAAACTGGGACGAAACAGCTGTCAATTACTCTCTGCAGGTTTTCCAATGGTTCTCTAGCCAATGTCAGCTCATGATGAAATCCTGTAACCAAAATTATAATTGTCCAAATTATTTTATTTTTATTTATTTTGACCACTTCATCTTTAATTACGTGTTATCCTTGTAAAATTAATTTATTCTTATCATTTCTACCTTTTAAATGTGTATTGATTTTCTTTCTTTATTATCAACCCATTGATATTTTGACACTGACTAATTATTCTTAACAAGCATATCAGTGCCACTTGATTGGTAAACTATTGTGTATTGTAATAAAAATGCTATACGTGTATATTAGAGTAGAGCCAGAGATGAGGATCTAATTGAAAAGTAAATATTTTTTCGCTCATTCTTTCTGTTTTCTAAATGTCTAAATGGGGATTCTTTTTATTTTATTAAGTAATCTTTCCCTGTGTATACTGCTGGTAGGTTAGTGTCTATGGTTGTTGCGTCAACTATCAAAACTTCTCAAATCTTCTTCTTCCAAAGCTGCGATGAGTAACAACTTTAGTTTTGGGTTAGTTGTAGAGATTATGCCATCGCATTTCACGCATTGCTGATTCCCTAAACTAATATCCACAAGCGAAACTTCAGCTAATAGAATAAAAACTGTATGTATTTATTTTGCTGATA